TGTGTATGTTGGCTGTGGGAAACCAAACAGCTGGTCAAACGTGTGCTCTCTTTAAAAAACAACCAAACCCGAAAATGCACAGCATGAGTGGGGAAAGGAGAAAAGGGAGTGTGTGAATTAACAATCTCTCTTTATGTTTAAAAACGTTCTCAAGAAATAGTAATATGAATGGAAGAAGAGGAGGTATGTTGTTAGCATCTGGGAATTTTTAACCCGCTAGTAAAAAGATTTCCTACATAAAATTTTGGTGGTCCAGTTGCTTAAACTCTGAGGGACAGGGAAGTTAACTCTGGTAGTTTTGAATTCTACATTTCCTGCTCTATTTAGGGGCTCTATAACCAAATAAGATGGCAAGGACAGGGTGTAGAATTAGCAGGATTGATTTTCCATAGATAATTCTAACCCAAAGAAACAGGTTAAAATTAAGAGGGGATTGGGAGAGGGAGGGAGGGAGGGAGGAGGAAAGAGAGAGAGAGAAGGAAGGGGCATCTAGGACACACTTGGGGAAGTCTTGACTTTGAAATCGAGGGGTTTTTAGCTCCACTAAACTCTCTGCCCAACATCAATGAGGCCAGATCTCACTGGGGTGGAGGAAATCCCTCACCCCCTGCCCTGAACTGGAAAAAGAAATAGAGCACATTATTAGTATAAAAGAATCACAAGCCCCTACACCCTGACAGCTCTGAGAAAGCAACATGTAAAGCTGGACAAAGTACAGGGATAACAATTCATGGAACAAGTTTTTACAATCTCAGGTGAAAATTATCCCAATTGTGCAGCAAAACCAATGCACTACTAAGCAAATAGAACAGATGAAGGGACATAAAAATAAGCCCCGGTCCATGCACTCAGAGATGCCATCCAAGGACCCACAGCAGATATGAACTCAGGGGAAATTTAAACTATCAACATCACCCTTATACATTCCTCAGAACTTGGCTAAAGGCCTGGAATAATTTTATTCATCCATTCGTTCAACTGGTATTTAAGGCAGGCCTACAATGTGTCAAACAATATATTAGGTGCTTAGAGATGCAGGAACAAAATAAGACAAGAATCTTTGCCTTCAAAGAGCTCACAGCTGTGCAGAGGGAAAACCCATGGCATTAATTCACTACAGTGTTATGTAATGGACACACTGTAGTTAAAGGAAAGGTCAGGGTGATGGAAATGAACAGGTGGCAGATGGGAAAGCAAAGGCCAGCAGATGGAGTGGGTGATCCTGCAACACTAAGGGAGCTGCAAAGAGTTCGAGTCTATTAAACCTTGATTCTGGAACATCTCTAAGCAAATCACTGCACATATCCCTAGCAGTCACAGGCCACAGCACTCCCTAAGCCTCACACCAAGCCAGATGAACACACTTATGTTATCTGACTAGCCTCTGACATGCCAGGCATTTGTGTGCCTGGCTAAGTCATTCCTGAGCTAAGTCATTACCAAGGGACAGACTACCTACTCCTACATGTCAACTGCAAACATGTGAGGGAGTTTTGAGTGGTCACAATAATTGTAGGTGCTACTGGAAGTTGTGACTCAGGACCAGGGATGCTCCACATCCTGCAAAGCCTGGGGAAGTTGCTCATAAGAATGACTTGTCTGTCCCAAAATGCCCACAGCACCTCCTTTAGATACTCTTGGCCAGATCTTGTCATGCTACATGTGCACTATAACCTCCATATTTACTGTCTGATTTGTAACACTGGCTCTCAGGAATTATTAACCTTTCTATATCGCTAACAAGAAGAGAACCCACACACAAAGAAAATAGTTCTGCAGACCTTTATTTGTAATTGATACTGAGAAAGAGACAACACATTTTACTACATTTGAAACAAGGGCAATATTTTCTTCCCGGAGAGAGTAGCAAGCAGTATCTGGTTTTATGGTAAAGAGCGTTTTTGTAAAAACAAGATGTTTCTTCCCACTATAGACCTTTATTTGTAATTGATGCTAAGAGACAACACATTTTACTACATTTGAAACAAGGGCAGTATTTTCTTCCCTGAGAGAGTAGCAGTATCTAGTTTCATAGTAAAGAGAGTCTTTGTAAAAACAAGATGTTTCTTCCCATGACAGTTTCATACCAGTCCTTTGTTAGAGAAACCAGAGAGAAAGCTACCAAAACCACCTTTAAACAGGTTAGCCTTTACAGATGAAATTGTGGGTATTGCCCTTCTTTGGATGGTAGTAAATGCTGTGGGAGAGACGAGGGGCTACATCTTGCACACATCGGGCTGCAGAAGGATGTAACGGGGATGCTTCTGGTTGATGGTACAGGGTGCAGACCACCACGGGAATAGTTCAGAGCCACTCACACTGACACTCACTATTCCTATGATTTCTCCCCTGGTGTGAAATCCAAAAAAAAAATTATAGTTGTAATAATCTTGGAAGCTTCAGAGAATGTGTAGAAAAGGACATATGATGTGTTCCCTGGGACTGAAAGGCAAGCTAGTGGTCCTTTACATAGACTTCCCGACTTCACAGAAAGTGGTAAGGGAAGGTCTGCTTCCCCAAGGATACTCCTGGGAAATGACTGCCCAGGAATACACCTTTGGTGACACGCATGAAGATGGACAATAATTCTGTGATCAAACCATTATTTCAGATTTTCAGCAGGTCAAATAATTGGGAAAATGAGACAGATAGGTCTTCACATACCTATAATCATTACAGAGCTACAAGGGAGCATTCTTAGGTTACAAGAATGAAAGATTCCTATTAGGTTTTCTGATGAAAATATTAAACTACAATTGCTGGATATCATCCCCCAATGCCCTTACTGCCAATCTTCTTGAAAACCGAGCCCACTCTTGACGCCCCGCCCACCCCTGCTCTATTATTCCCACTCTCATCAGTCTGGCTTCCGCTGCTGGGGAAACTCTCATACCACAGTTAGTAGGGAATCAACCCCCAGCCCCACAACCTCTTTCACAATCACCATCCCAGTTGCCTTTTCTCAAATTCATTATTCACGCAGCATTACTGAGACACCACTAGAGGCAGGTGTTATTCTAGACCTGGAGGGAAACAAGAGAGTCAAGGCCCAGCCCCTGTGGCACCTGGAGTCTAATGGGGGGAAGGTGAGATAAATAGATATAAGTGAGCAAAAAAAATGAACAGGAGGCATTTATCAACTAGCAAAAGATGCTGCAAAGAAAATCAAATAGGGTACTAGCCTAGAGAGTGACCAGGGAAAGGCTATGAAAGACAAAGGAGCTTTTGGGTACAGGGACCCGACCACCTGTGTTCATATCCTGGCTATGCCACTCATTAGTGTGTGACCTTAGGGGAGTTGTGTCACTTCCTTGTGCCTCAGTTTCCTTGCCTTTGAAATGGAAATAATAATAATACATGCCTCACAGGGTGGTTTTGAGGGTTAAATAAATTAATAAGTGCTTTCTGCAAGTGCACAGAACAGTGCCTGGTATTGAGGGCTCAGCAAATATTAGCTGCTGGTCCACTACTTCTATTACCATTCTCATGATTACTCACACTCAGTGGTGAAGAGAGAGACCTAGGAGGTGGCATTTGAGCTGAAACCTAAATGATGAGTAGCAAGCAGTGGAGGAAAGACATGAGGGGAGATTATTTCAGACCAAAAATAAGCCACAATGGGAAAGAGCCTGAGAGGTTCCTAGGGATGGAAGAAAGGTGCTGTGACAGGTCATGGAGGATGGGGACAGTGGTGAGGAATGAAGTCAAAGTGGTAAGTAGGGCCCAACCAAGTGGGGGCTCATAAAAACATACAGCGCCTCTCTGTTTTGTATGTAACTTAAAAGTTTTCCCATCCACATGGACTTCAGCAGGCTGCCGTCCCCACGAAGGCAACCCATGCATAACACAATCACCAGCATGTGGGTACAGCTCTGCTTCTTACTAACGATCATAAAACACTAGATCAGTGGTCAAGGGACTTTGCTGTGGTTCTTACTGGTTAAGCAACAGAAGCAAGTGACTTCATTTCCCTACATTTGTTTCTCAATTTGCAAAATAAAATGGATTGAATTAGAGATCTTTCTGATTTGCTATTTTATATCCCTGTTCTTGCATTTCTCCTAGATTTGAAAATAGATCTAGGGCAGCAGAGTTTACTTTAGGTGAACTAAAGTCTTTACTAAAGGACTTTCAACACACTCATCTCTTTTAATGTAGTGAAAGGAGTGGAAGTTATGGTTAGGGTCATCATCCCAGATGTGGGATTCCCCCTCCCAGGCATCAGACTGTGTGTCCACTCTTTGGAGCAGTGAGCAGGGCAGGCCTCCCAGAGCTGCAAGAGACAGGCCACAGTGTCGCCTGTGAGCCAGGGTGGCAGGGCCCTTTGCTGAAGGCAGAGCTGCCCAGAGAATGCCTGGTGCTCCTGAGCCCAGGTTTTCAGCTCAGCTCAGCCTACAAGTGGATTTAGAAGGGTTTGCTACTCCACTGGCTGCACAAGAGACTGAGGGGAGAGGGAGGTAGAGGCGGCCTGCACAGCAGAAATGCCCTTTTTCCCTCACTGCCTTTATTAGTTAAATAGACTTCGTGTACCACCTGAAAGAAAAAGCTGTACTTTATATAAAGTATATATTCTTTCTTTCTTTATTCTCTTTATGCATCTGTTAATTAGAAAATAGTAATCTTCTCAAGTTATATTGCTAGGTAAAAGTAAAAACCAACACCAAAATCTGTCTTCTCTAAGACCCTAATTTGGTAAGAAAATCTTACCTTCTGGTAAATACAAGATCTGACTGAAAGACTTCTTACTCCTTCCTCTGCGCAATTAACAGCAAACACCTTGTCATAAACATTTTTGAAAGGTCAGAGATGGCAACAATTTGCTAAAGAGATAAATAGTCAAATAAAACACTGCCCTGGTAATTCCTGGCCTTCAAAGAACAGCATAAATCTGATCAATAATGAGACACACAAAAGGGATTGTGGGATAAAGGGTGGGTCCGATTTGAGATATTAAAAACTTGCCTAAGTCATTTTTTTCCTCCAACACGTCTTATGTTGCAGCAGGCACTGAAGCCGTTAATGGTAAATTCATACTTACAATGTTAGAAAAATAAGATTCTGATGAGGAAACAAAAGATTGTTTTAGATTGAAGAAGTAAATAATAGTAAGAATAAGGACTTTTGCAAAAGCCAAGGTAAGAACGTTTTCCCTCTGTAATAAATCAAGTATTGAGCTTGAATTCTGAATGTTACTTTCAGTTGTATTTCTCGACTTTTACCCTTATCCTAGCACAAATTACCAGAGTTCAAAGGACACTAATTTATTCTAAAATATACGTATATATTTTAAGTGTGCCTAAGAAAGAGCATGTTTATTTATATATTCCTATTTATTGCTGCTGTCTTAAGAATAAATTTAAGTTCATATACATTGAAAAGGTAAGTTTCTTTTTTAAGCTTTTCATTGTAAATTTTAATTTTTTAATGAAGGCTTTCACTTCCAGTTCTTACAGAAGATTTTGTATTCCTGGCAAAAGTATGTTATCACTTAAACTGCATTACACATTGATTATCTATTGTCTGCTCATATTAAAAAGCCTCTATTGTCACTTAATGTTTACTAAATAATCAATAAAAGTACAACTGAAACCAGAGTAAACTCAAACAAATAAGTGGGCTGAAATTCAAAGAAAATTGAGACCATACCCACTTTAGAAGGGCAGCCTTTGTGAGAACTCCTTTCTGCCTCACAAAGCTAATTTATCTTTTTTAATGCCATCAAATGTAATAATGGATGACATGTTTTACAGCTTCAGTGATGCAGCAACTTGTCAATAACACAGGGAATTTAGAAACCAATTCATCAATTCATGATTTTTTAATTGGACCATGGATGGTTAATTTTAAGTCATTAGACTCTCCAATAATAAAACCCTAGAAAGAGAGAGTTAATTAATACAGAATTGGGTAGCTCTCCCCTGTCTCTTCAATGAAAACCCAGAGTTCCTCTTCTGCCTCAATAACAGGTGGCACTTTTCACTTTGAGCACTTTTGGGGCAGGTTGGGGATTAGTTGAGTGGAGTGGGAGAAAATGAAGGAGAAAAAAAAAGAGGGACCTATATGTAAGTATATATAATTATATATGTGGGTTATTTATACTCATATTTATTTTATACTTTAAGTATATATAATTATATATTTGGGTTACTTACATTTGTATTTATTTTACACATTCTACATATTTACTTACATAAAAATATAGATTTTGTTATATGTATGCCCACTTCACAAATGCCTCTCCTTCAGACACTGCCCACAGTTTCCCTTACTTCTTTATTCGGATGGGAGTTAGGGTGGCTAAAAGATTTTCCCATGTCTCAGTTTTGCACTTATTGGTAAGGTTACACCCTTGCTCATATATTTGAGTATTGATATTCTATTATCCACTGAATGTCTTCACTGGAAGGGACCTTAGTGATTATCTGGTCTACTCCACTCCTTCACAGTTGGGGAACCAGAGGCTCGGGGACATTCAGAGACCTGTCCAGGGTCACACAGCCAGGTAGAAACAGAGTCAGCCATCCTCCCGACACCCACACCCAGCAAGCAGTCTACCCCACCACACTTCTCTGTCTCCTCTGCCCAATAATGTATCTTCTGACACTCACAACAGAGAAATTAATGAGTCTGCAAGTTAAAGATTCATTTTAAACAAATTGGTTCATTATTATTTAATTGAGACGGCTTCAGAGCAATAAAAGCCTTGCTTACCAAAACTAGATAAGCAGCTCATGAAACATTGAGCTCAAGAAATGGAAAAATTGTCACAAGTCAATATGTGCTGCCTTTCTGTTTGATAAATGCCACCCAATAGCTTCAGAAGTATCAGAAACTAATGGTGTCCCGGCCCTCTGTAGGCATACATTAATGGGATCAGGAGCATAAAATATAAACAATAATGTGTATATTGATTATTCCGGACACTTGAAGCCCAACAAACATTTGAAAGGTCAGTTATTCTGCTTGCATCAAATTACAGTTAAGTCATTTGCTTGAAGCTGGAAGCTTGGCTCTCCATGTAAATTTAGCTAGAGACCTATAAACTTAATCACGCCATACCTCTGGTAGCTCCCTTAGGTTGCCTGGCACGAAAAACATACGGTAAGTGCTTAACCCCACAAAGCATACACAAATAAAAAACAGCATACACACAGCCAGGAAAGATATTGTGTGGGTGAAATCCAGTCTATTGGCTGAATAAATATCATGAAACAGCATTTTACTCTGACAGAATATATTCAAAGGTTCCTGTAAGTCAGTTACTATGTGAGCTTACAAATGAAAATGTATGCTTTCAGGATGTTTCAAAAATATCCAAGTTTAGGAAATGCAATGTCATAATTATTTTTACTTTTACCTAAAAATTAAAATTTGGTTTGACCAGGTCACAATCCAATTTAGGTAATTTTTTCTACAATGAAAGATTTACTCCTTTTCAGAGCTCCTCTAAAACAAAAGTTTAAAATAGGCTATGTGGATTCTGTGTCGAGGAGTGGTCCCTTTGCTGGCGCTTTCATACCCAAAGGCTCCTCTCCTCCAGAGACAGGCTTTTACCCCTCAAGCTCGCTGGTGCTCCTACATCCGGACAAACTGGGTAGTAGGAGCCAGTTCACAATCCCACAGCCTCAGTTCCTTTCCTGGAGTAATAGGTCAGTCCCTCTGTAGAGTCCATATTCCCTTGCTGACTTTTTTTTTAAGATTTTATTTATTTATTTTTAGAGAGGAAGGGGAGAGAGAGAGAGAGAGAGAGAAACATCAATGTGCAGTTGCTGGGGGCCATGGCCTGTAACCTAGACATGTGCCCTGACTGGGAATTGAACCTGCGATGCCTGCTTCGTAGCCCGAGTTCAATCCACTGAGCTACTCCAGCCAGGGCCCTTGCTGACTTTTAAAAAGGACAAGAGGGACTTTGAGAGGTTGAAAGAAAGACTTGCAATTTATGGCCCCTTTACCAGAATAGACAAGGGTTGGAAGTATTCCCTCTCTCCTTTGACAAGGGCTCCAGTTATCCTAAGTGTGGAGAGCTCCCCCATTTGCTGCTAAAGATCATTGTCAGGGTAAGAACCAAGCTTTCAGAAAGTCTCCTCCTGAATAGGAGGTCAGAGTCGGTGGGGGGACTGAAGCAGGACAATGCTGTCTGTAGGAGGCCTTGCAAAAGAACTTATCCCATTTCCTCTGGCAGAAGATACTGCTGTGTCTGTCCAAGAGTGAAAATATACTTATCTTTAGGCTGACAGTTTTAACTCTAAGCATACTCAACTATTCCCTTTGAGTCAGGTCACCAGATTTGTTCTTAGACATTTTACATTATATGAATCTTTCACACTGATTCATCCCAGATTCTAAAACAGCCAAAAGCAGCCATTTTGAAAATCACATTTTCCTTACTCATGAATCATACCAGTTTTAAAAACACTTTTTAGACTCATATTACATTCATTAGCAATTGATAACCATTGTAAAATCATGTATTTGCAGTTTATATTAAAATATAATAATTATGATAATACAGCAGAATTAAAAACTCCAATGGAAAATAATGGTAATTTATCTGGGAGTCAAATGACTTGATTTTTTTTATCCTTACTAGATGATATTTTTTCATTGCCTTTAGAGAGAGAGGAAGGGAGAGAGAGAAATGTCGATGTGAGAGAGAAACATCGACTGGTTGTCTCCTAGACATGCCCAGACCAAGGATCATACTTGCCCTGCCCCAGGATCTTACATGTCCGGACCAGGGATCGAACTAGCAACCTAGGCATGTGCCTTGACCTGGAATTGAACCCACAAGCTTTCAGTTACAGGGCGACGCTCCAACCACCTGAACCACACTGGCCAGGGCCAAATGACCTGATTTTAATGTTAAAGACATCATTTTATAGCTTCCTAATAAAATAATTATCTATAAAAGAAATTGTTCTATTTTGAAATATACATAAAACCTTACATGAACCAAAGGAATTAATAAACACCAGTTTAACAAAAATCCAACTATTATACTTGGTTGAAAAGAAACAAATATCTCAAAGACTGACCTTTTGCTTCCTGCTTAAAGCAGATTTTCTGTGACAAGAGTTCCTGAGTGTACACTGTGTTCCATTACAGTAAAAAGCCTGCATTATTGTGCTCCTGCTATTTAAATTTTAAAAGACTCCAAAAACCTGATTAGCTTTAACATCTTTTATCATAATCAAAACTCAACTAAGTCAATCATACTAATATTTTGAGGGAAGAAAATTTATTATTTTCATTTTTGATAAGTAAGTTATATTCTGGAATTCAGGCCATAACTTCATTTTATTCTAAAGATATTGGATGCTAAAAAAAAGGCAGCAGCTTTTAATTGCATACACTATTTTAGCATTCAAGGTGTATCTCTTGCTGAGTAAACCTTTAATTACAAACATCTGCTGGCTAAGCATGCCCTAAAAAGTAGTTCTCTGTATTTCAAAAACTATTTTCTGCACTTTAACTTTTAAACCAAGACTTTGATGATCAATGAACAAGAGAGCTTTTAATTTGAGACACAAAATAAAAAAAATCCTACTTCCACACTACTTACAATAAATTCAAAGACTGTTCACACATCTGAAAATGGAGGATTATAATGACACTTTAGGACAGAGACCCATAAATTATTAAGTGACATAACTGCAAAATTCTACCAAGGAGATCTTCATATCAAAAATAAATAATAAAAGTACATTTATCATATTCTTTTTTTTAATGTTTCCTCAAAAGCTATGTTAACTTTTCAAAGCCCAGGTAATAAAGAGACAGACTACTTTTTCTCTACACCCAGACTAATTTTCTTTCTTGTGGAAGCCACACCGCAGGACCCAAGGCTGTGTGCCTCCAAGTACTCATCATGACGTTTCAGCTTCAGAAAAATGAAACTAGGCTATCGATGTTACCTGAGTTTCAAAGGACCATTCTCTGCCACAGAACCTAAACGCAAAGGATTTCTTTTTGACATGAGGCGTGTGGTGATGTGAAAGAGAAATGCAGTCCCTACTGGGACTGTGAACATGATCACATTTGTGCGACCAACTGCCACACTCCTGCTTTTCTTGTTCCCTGACAAGACTTGTTCCAGCCCTCTCTCCTGGGAAGCCTTTGACAGCAACTGCAAACA